ACAGTTAGGGTGCAATAATTATTTTGCATTGTGCACGTAAATAAGAATATAGGAAAAGGTGCACTTATGGCTAACTTGCTGTGATGAGGAATAAATTTTTTGGAAAATGGTGATTGAGAAAGAATTTTGTAGTTCAGAGAGTTCATTAACAACAAGCAATGAATATAATGAAAATGAGAAGAATAATAGTAACAATGAGTAATATTAATATCATGGTGCTTGAAGTGGATGATGATATGGTTAGGGGTGAGCAGTATTTGGTCCGGACCGAATAATTGAACCTAATCAACTCATTTCAATTTGATTCGGTTAGATTTTTTTAGAGATCGGTTACTAATCGGTTAAAATAATAATAATCGAATGGTTTTCAATTTTCCCTTTGATCACTTGCCTAGCGAATCGAATTGATTTTTACGCCCAAAATAAATTATTTAATTTGGAATGATTGAACCAAATCCAAATCAATCTGGTTTGATTTGATATTGAATCGATTTTCACAGCTTTAGTGTAATTTCAATCGACATGGAATCTATTCGGTCAAACCGAATGGAATCAATTCAGTTCAGTTCAGTTCAGTTACACCGTAATCCCCAACCCTAGATATCGTCACAAGAACAATCCATAAGTTGATGCTCAAAGTGCATGGAATGGAAGTTGAAGTGGCTGTCAACGGAAAATAAGCCATTGATCTTCATCGTGTTGGTCTTTCTTTTAATCTCATTCTTATGCACTTGGAAATGCCTGTCATGAATATCTATGAGTTATTGAGGTATAATTCCTATTTTTGTTAGCATGTATTATTTTTAAGTTTAATCAGAAAAATTTAGTTATTTTTGCAGGAGAAAAAAAAAATTCAATTATCAATTTTAGTAAAAATTGATTTTGATTATTGATATTACTTTTTAAAAATTAAAAGTCAAAATTGAATTATCAAATTAATTAATTTTTTTAGTAGTAAGGCATGATGTGCAGTGATTTATTTTCCACTTAATTCAGATTAAATTGGACTGGCCAACAAGATTCATTAAATCAATGAGTGGAAAAAAAATTACTGTAGTTTAATTCAGTTTTATTTTGAAAATAATTTTTTTATTTGTTTTGTAATTTAAACTTTAAAGCTTAAAACCATTTAAAAAGATAAAGAAAATAAATTTATAATTATTTTAAAATGCTTTGAAAATTTTTATTAATTCAAATCCATTGAATTGTTTAGACTTGCGACCTAGTCACTAGATTGATTTGATGGGTTGCAAAATTTTACGAAAGCCTGGTTAAATAACTTCATTTTTTCCATTGAACATTAAAAAAAAATAGCTTTTTTCCTTCCATAACTGACACCGATGACAACAATGACTACTGCGATGGAGACGTTTTGAGTTTATTTATACTAAATGATGATTAATATCTATATAATAAAGATAAAAAAAAAAAAAGGGGGAAATGGGGATTGAGGAGGGAATGTGCGTTTCTTAGGGTTCATACAAAGTACTGATTTCTCAGTGCTTGTTGAAGTAATTATTTTATATTAATCAATGTGATGAAATGCCATTTGTTACTTTACTTTCCTTTTTAATTTGATGAAATTTGAATTCTATATATATACATATATGATGTTTGTGAGTTCATTATAATGTGCAAGTTTACCATATTTATAGAGAAGGAAAGCTTTACACAGCACCATGGAGGGACTTTGCCTACGGTTATTCATGTTTTTGGAGGACCACCTTAAGGCATAATTATGCTTCTTCTGCATGATAATGTGTGGATTTCATAACCCATATTACATATTGTTTCTTTTCTCCTTTCCTCTTTTTTTTTTTTTTTTTTTTTTTTTTTCTTTCTCCTTTCCTTCTTTTTTTTTTTTTTTTTTTTTTTTTTTTTTTTTTAAACCGGTATTTTTTTTTTTTTTTTTTTTTTTTTTAACCGTATGGTATTTCATATCCACTGGCCTGACAAAGGGGCAAAGCAATCCCTGTTTGTTTTCTCATATTACCCCTGTTGTGAGTAAAAGTCTTTAAAGGCTATATAATGTTAATAAAATCTTGATTATCAACAAATTTGTATCAGTATCAACATTGTGACTTGATTGGGAATAGACTTTGATCACTCAGTCTTCTACTAAGGATGTAGTTCATTAATTATTAGCTCAATATATAAATTCACCCCTGAACTTTGTTAATTTAACTTTGTGATACCTCAACTTTTACTTTGACATTTTAAACACTTTAATTTATAAAATTACACTATTAAACACTTCAACTTACAGAATTATTTTATTGAATATTTCAACTTGAAAAATTAGATTAATTAGACACTTATTACATAGTTAAAAATGTGAAAATTGTTATTCCAAAAGTTATGCTAACTACATATAAATCACTATTTTACACAGTCAAAAACCCTAAAAACTATTGCTATGTGTATGGAAAGATGTGCAATATTATCAAAATTTGCAAGTTGAAGTACACAATAGGTCATTAACAAATTTCAATGTGTCGCAAGGTTAAAATTGCAATTTTGAGGCTCAAATTTATACATTTGGCATTTAACTATACCTTCTCTAGAAACTTTGTTTGTCTGAGCTTAGCAAATTAATATCGAAATAATATATGTAATACCCTCACATAAAAAATATTTTTTTAGTGGATTTCCTAAAGAAATTATTGCACTATGTCATTTGAATTAATTTTCTTTAAAATTCAATTATTGAAGTGTAAGAATATATTTAACACCCATAGATATAAATGTCCTATTATGGAAAATGATCATATACTGGACTTAGATTATGCATAGTAATAGTAGCATCAAAATCATGTTCAAACAGAAAGCTATTTGCATTCTGGGATGCACCTGATCCATTTGAGAAGGCGAATAGCTATTTGCATTCTACCAATTACATGAGTCTTATGATCTTAGGACAATCGTAGACCTTAAATGCTAGGACATGATCCATCCTTGGGTTTACTAATTATGTGAGTCAATCTTGCATATCATGTTCTAAATTCGAATGCAATGAGTTTAAAGTGGAGGGAACCTTTTCCTCCTTGTCTTTCTTTTATTTTTCGATGGGAAAAAAATCATTTAAATAAATGATCTTTGCATTTCCTTAAAATCGAAATAAGTACCAACTTAATAATAGCTAACTAACTAATTAGAATTGTTAATCACTTATGAGTTGTAGCATGCTTGGCCAGGAAAATGTTAAGAGCTATTGAGTCGAGATCGAAAAATACTAGTTTGATTAATGAAGACAATTAGCTAAATTTAGCTAAAATTTAAACTATTGTTCCTTCAATCTTGCGGCATCCTGCGATTTGTAAATGACCCATTGTGCATTTGAATTTGCAAATTTTGGTATCATTGCACACCTTTACATACTAATAGCAATAGTTTTTAGGATTTCTGGCTTTTATATATAAAATATTGATTTGATGTGTAGTTATCATAACTTCTAGAACAATAATTTAACATTATTTAACTATGTAATAAGTATTTAATTGATCTAATTCTGTAAGTTGAGGTGTTCAATAAAATAATTCTACAAGTTGATGTGTTTAATATATGTAATTTTATAAGTTAAAGTATTCAATAGTCAAAATAAAAATTGAGGGTGCCACATGGTTAAAGCCATAAGTTCAGGGCGTATTTATATATTCAATCGTTCCAATTTTAATCTATGGTAAAATATTAATTGAGTCCTTAAGTTTTAGTCTCATTAATACTTAAAGGACGTTTATATCCAAAAACCAACTATAAGTTCTTTATATTTTAATTCTGTAAACAGATATGTCCTTCCGCTCAAAATTAAGACTTTTTTCCGTCAAATGAACGTGAATGTATGAAAATGCTCTGATATGAAAGAGGAAGTTGGATGGTCATCTTTGAAAGGAGAGGGTTTTTGCATTCCCAATTACTGAGAGAGTTCGTCGTTCAATCCAGGAGGAATTAATTCAACATGCACTATTGAAATTTGAAAGTCCTATCGTGGAGATATTAAAGGACACACACACATAAATAAATGCTAAAGCTATAGAAATCCATTATTAGAAACGAAAATTTAGATAGAAGTTAAGTTGTACCGCAAGAAACCCAAAAGAAACAAGATCAGGAAAAAGGGTGTTTGGGCTTATCACCTTGAGCTTGAAACATCATGCATACATGCCAAGACCCCCCTTAATATATTTTCAGAATTAAGAGAGTGACACTTCCCAAAATAGCATAACTAAATATACCAATGCCTCCCAAAACCTAAGCACGGCTATACAATCAAACCACGGAATTCTTAAATCAGGCTACAAAACAGTCTGAAATGATGAGAATCCACCGACTCGGATGAGAAGAAGAAAAATCTAACAACCAAAATGGGTTAAAAGAGGCAAATTTAGGAATTAAACAAGAAAACCCAGAACTGAAACAATCAAAAAACAAAATTGGAAACCAAAAACTGAAAAAGAATCATAAGGGTAAAGTAAAGGAATCCTAAATAGGATTAGCAATCAAGAAATTTCAAGAAAACCCAAAAGGACATCTCTTTCTTTCTCTAATAAAAATCTCCCTTCACACACTGAACGAAACCAAAAACAAAAGAAAAAAAAAATAGTAAATAAATAAAAAAAATCCTCCAAAAAGATTCACCTTAATTGTTTGGGGTGTTTATTGGATTTTATTTTATTACAGTATGTCAAAAATTGTTTAAGAGTATATCTACAAGATCTGTATAATAGAGTATGAATGTACGTAAACGTCTTGAAGTAATTATAGAGTCGTCCTACGTGTTAAAGTCATCAATAATTTTTTTTAACATTTTCAGAGTACTTGAGGTTTTCTTAGATTTTTTCGTATCTGAAATCTACTTTAACGGTAAGAAAAATTTAAGTCGTTGGATTTTGTATAATACTTAATATCAACTTAAAACTATTTGACAAATTTCAAATCCGGGACTAACCCAAATGCAATTACTTTTTAAATTTGAATTTAAAAAATAATGAAACTATTTACTTTTCAGAGCTTATATGAACCCTAAATATCATAGCTTCTGAAGCATAGTTAGAAAGCGTGTGTAGATGAAGAGGTAATACAATGTTGGTCTTCATCGTGTTGGTCTTTCTTCTAATCGCATTCTTATGCACTTGGAAATGCCCGTTATGAATTAATGGCTATGAGTTATTAAGGTATAACTCACTCCTATTTTTGTTAGCATGCATTACTTTTAAGTTTCATCAGGAAAGTTTAGTTATTTTGGTAGGAGTAAAAAATTTCAGTTATCAGTTTTAATAAAAATCGATCTTGATGTTATTGTTTTAAAATTAAAATTAAAAATTGAATTATTAAATTAATTAATATAATAATACCTACGACAGCAATTGACTACTACAATGGGGATTATGTCATCGACTCTGATAAGGATGATCGGCACCGGCAGCAATGACAGATTAACATATCCATAAATTTTACTGCAACAAAATTTATGGATCTTTGGTTAGTGTCTATATATATGCTTAACTTTCAATTTTACCCCGAACTTTTTGAATAGTTGCAATTTCACTCTAAATCGAACTTTGTATTACAGTCACCCTGAACTTATTAACCTAGTTGCAATTTCACTTTAATTTAAACTAATACCCAACTCATTATTTTTGCACCTTAAAATTGGTTCAATTTTAAAATTAAATATTCAATCATCATTTTTTTATTTATTATATGAATACTTGGATTTGATTTTATTATCTATTGTTTAAATGCTTGGGTATGGAGTCCATTTTTTTACATTATTATCAGCAAAATTCCGATCTTAGTTTATTTTTAGGGTGCAATTGCAATAAATTGACAAGTTTAGGTGTTATAATTCACTTTTAGAGTGTAATTGCATCTAAAAGGTAAATTAAGATGTAATTGCAACTAGATTGATAAGTTTAAGGTGCCAGGGTATAAAAGTTGATTTAGAGTAAAATTACAATTATTCGAAAAATTCGGGGTGAAATTGAAAGTTAAATCTATTGATTATATATTACTTTAATTCCCTTCTTAATTAGCTTAAATTTTTATCTATTTATATAATTACGAATCAACTTTTGTTTCTGATTACAAATAAATGTGTCAGTCAAATTAATCCAACTTAAGACTACCCTTAATTCAATTATTTTGTCTTAAATTTTTTAATTTAAAATTGAAAAGGAAATGATTTATTATTTTTTAGAGTTTATATAAACATAAACATCTTAGCTTTTCCGTCCGGTGATAGAAATGTGTTTGTTCATGTTGAGATAATCTAGTCTCTTTTTAGATGTATGTGAATATGTATGATGTCTATTTCTACATACAATGGCAATATATATTGATATTATTAATTACTATATTTTTCAAGTATAGGATATTAATTCAATTTCACTTGAAAAAGGCCAAGATAAGAATGCTAAATATGGAATTTATGCTACTAAACACAATTATTATTCAATTTTTTTTTTCTATTTTAGTTAATTATGTTTTGTTTGGAAGTTCAGATTTGTAATCTTAGGGTTCATACAAAGTACTAATGTCTCAGTGCTTACTGAAGGAATTATTGTATATTAATCTATAGAATTTATATTTATTCTATATTAGGAGAATCAAAAATTATTATTGAAGCAAAGTACTTAAATTTCTTTTCACCTTTTAAAATAAATTCCAGATATGAAAAAATCTGATTTTTTCAGATTTTTTCATATCTCGAATTTATTTTAAAAGGTGAAAAAAAATCTAAGTTATTAGATTCTGCATTATATATATTACTAATTTAAGACAATGTCATAAGTTACGAACCTGAAATGAGTCTCAATTCAATTAATTTGTATAATATCTTTTCAAATTTGAAATTCAAAAGATAGTGAAGTCATTTACTTTTAGTACTTATATAAACCCTAAACATCTTTAACTACTGAAGCATAGTTGGCAAATGTATGTAGAGATAGAGGCAATTTTAGTATTTGAATACTTAGAAATTGTTAAGCTCGAGCGTATTCTTATCAGCCTCTCCATTGCTTGTGATGACTCCAAGAATAATAGTACGGTTTCCAAATCCTCTACCTGATGAGTTACAATAAAAAGAAAATGATGATTGGAAAAAAAGAATGTCCAGTTCAAAGAGCTCATCAACAATGAACGAAGAATGCGATGGAAATGAGAAGAATAATACTATTCTTTTGTTCGTCATATTCTTTATTCATGGTTGATGAACTCTTTGAACTGCATATTCCTTTCTCAATCACCATTTTTTTTTTTTCAATAACTCATCAACTAGACATGAATAGAAACATTATTGTTGGCGTCACCACAAGTAATGAGGAAGCTGAGTTGAAAACCTTTACGGAAACAGATGACTGTATTTTCAAGGCATTGATTCTCAAGAAAATTGCCTCTTAGCTTCCGATATCCTCCACAAGCACAACCGAGCAATGACTATGACAATTGGGACTGTATAATATTATCTATATAATACTTTACTTTCCTTTTTAATTTGATGACATGTGAATTCTATATATATATATATATATATACATATGCCCCGCTCACCACAAGTAATGAGGAAGCTTGAGGTTGTAAACCTTCACGGATAACAGATGGACTGATTATTTTCACACGGCATTGATTCTCAACGCAAAATTGCCTTTTAGCTTCGCTATCCTTCCACACAGCCACTAAGCCCGAGCAATGACTATGATACAAATGGGACCTCGAATAGATATTAGTCTAGTATAATACTTTACCTTTTTTTCCCTTTTTTTTTTACAACTTTCCGGAGGCGATTGGGAACATGTTGGGAATCATTTTCTCCTAATTTTATTTTATATTATATATATCTTTACATACTCTATATAATAACAGAGATGATGTCTCTCGTGAGTTCGTTGTAGTGTGCGAGCACCTATATATATACATATATATATATATATACAGATATGATGTTTGTGAGTTCGTTGTAGTGTGCAGGTTTACCATATTTATAGAGAAGGCAAATCTTACAGAGACTGGATAGCTCACCATGGAGGAACTTTGCCTATGGTTGTTCATATTTTTGGAGGATCACCTTAAGGAATAATTAGGCTTTTCTGCATGATAATGTGTGGATTTCATAAATTTTGTAATAGCTACATCTTGTTTATTTTCTCTTTTTCTTTTTTTTTTTCTTTAAGAAAAAATGACGTGTATAAGTCATTTGCTTCCTGTTTAACTAATAAAAAAATGGTATGGTGTGAATAAAAGCCTTTAAAGGTACATATGTTACTAAAACTTTATTTTTGAGTATTAACAAATTTGCATCAGTATAAATCTTAAATTAATTGCAACTTAATTAGGAACAGACTTTGATCTCTCAGTCTTCTACTAAGGACCTAGTTCATTTAATTACTTTCTCACGGAACCTAGCGGCCATGAATCTTATGAACAGATTTTGGGACAGAGAGAGTACATGAATCTTATGAACATTAGGACAATCGTGGCCTTAGATGTCGAGAAATGATCCATCGTTATGTTTACTAATTATGTGAGTCAATCTTGTCTATCATTTCTCTATAGATATTAGCATTTTGAGCATGTATGAACTAAAATATTGGTTGCAACAAATATTCAGTCTTCTTGAATTAATTTAAAGTTTGATGACCTAATCCATAAAATATATTAGGACTAGTCAAAATAAAATTGCAAGGGATTTCATTAAACTTGGATTAAATTGTGATTTGGCTGTCATCTTATGAACTGAATTGCATTTTTCACTACTTTTGTAATTGCCATTGCTGATATGCATGGCAAATAATAAATATGGCAAAATAAAAAATATTTTTTGAAAAAAAAAATTATTTTCTATCATCTAATTGCAGTATTGAAAATTTATTGAAAAATATTACATTTTTATACGCTCAAAAAATATATTTGGACTTGTGAAAACTTAATATTATATTTCATTTTATTATTAAATGACGGGAAAAAAAATAAAAATATTTATTTATGGTGACTACCACTAGTGATTGCGGGAGAATGGTGGTAGCTAGGGGTCAAGGACAGTAATTGTAATTGTGATTATTAATGTTTAGTGAATTAATAACATGTATTTGTAAATTTTTCTTCCACTATAATTAGTCTGCCTAAATTTAAAAAATAGAAAGAAAGTATGAAATTAATTTTCTGATCCGAAATTAACATTGTGATCCGAAAATGTTATCACTCATGATCCGAGATTAATATTGTGATTTTCTGAGAGTTATCATGTAACACCCCTTCCCGGTCCACCCGTTAACCCGAATGAACCGAGCCGAGACGCTACAATCTGGTTGAACTTTTGTCTTGTCATGCTGATATCATCCAGACGCTCAGCATTGGTTGAACTTTGTCTGTGTCATGCTGATATCATCCGTATACTAAAATATCCTGATTACAAAAGCACTCCCCAATTAAACTTCATGACTCCAACATCTCCAAAGAAGCATCATTAAACACAGACTACACCTTTTATATCTCTTAGCATAATTAATAATATCCCACAAAGCATTAATCTCTAGTAATAATTTCCTTCAGAATGCTACTATCACTTTTCAATTAATTTCATTCAGAATCTATATCAAGTTTTCATGACCTAATCATACCAACTATAGTAAACTATTTCATCTTCAATCATTTCATAAATATTATTCTTCTCTCCAACTACTTACACCAAAATAATTACATGTTTCACTTATATTTTCAATTACAGAAGCTCTAACAAATGGAAAAATTATACATGCCATAAATTTTAATATTACAACTCTCAATCTACTATGACCAAGTTAGTCACTTCTGCTTTGAACGTACTCCTCAAGTCTTCAAGTAGTAATCACGATCTTCAACCTGCGCGTGATAAAAATCGACGCGCTGAGTATAAAACTCAGTGGTTCTCATACTTCACATACTAAACAAAATTCGATGGCAACTAACTTCAAATACCAATTCAAATACACAAATTTTCATAAAGCATTGATACTCATAGAATCAGTAATTTCGAAAGCCTTATTGTAGCGACTCTTTTCTAAACTCAAAACATAAATATTCAATCTACGGGCTTCTCTCATAACGTCCTGGTCCTACCATGAACTTATAACTCCTTTACATGAACCTTAAATTACACATTATGATACTATCATAGTCTTACCTGCTGTTCATTGTGTTGTATGCATGAAATCAATAAATATGTAAGAGTACATAACAGTATATGTTCATCGTCTTACTTGCTATTCATTATGCCGTATGACTTGTGCACTTTTAGTCACATCATATAAGTTATGATTCATAACAACTCATGACTGTATGGCTCCTTAAGAATGAAATAAATAAACTTGTGAACATATATAACATTATACTTTCATGATCTTACCTGATGTTCTTTATGCTGTATGAACTCTGCAGCTTTGATTAAACTCAGTGAATGAAGAAACATATAAGCATATACATATGTGGAAATAAATACACATTTACTCACATATGGAATGTAAGCACACATATCATGTCATGTTCAGTTTACTTTGATAGTCTTTTTTTCTCTTTATTATACTGTATGATTAAGTCAAAATATCTGTATGGCTCCATAAGGTTATAGCGAAACCGAAGTGATAAGATAAACTGTATGAAACTGTATATTCACTTGTCCATAGCTTCCATAAGGTTATAGTGAAACACCGAACGCTTGATAAGACCTCCACCGAACTGTACTCGAAAACTGATGAAACTGTATCGCTATAGGCCCGAACCGGGATTCGCCTATGCCAGATATTGTCGTCTCTCGGTGCCCTAACCGGATTTTGCACCGCATCGGGTAATCAATCCACGTCACATATCCACTCAACGGCCTGTAGCCAGAGTTCCAAACTGTATGGGGCGCAGATCTGCTATTCTATGTCGCGACATAGCCTTATCTACATAGTTTCTACCCAACCTCAATGGAGCTTAATATTAACATGTCAACAATGTAACACAATAACATATAAATGGTTGCATAACTGCATAATTTATCATGTTGATTTGATTTCACATCATCTAAATGCTTACCTGTTGTTTTAATCCATGTTCTTATGTTATATTTTTGTTGTAGAATGATTGGATGCATATATGTTGAGCAAAGGAATGTAATTACATAGCAAATGAAAGGCAAAAGAATGTCACAGCTGAAGTCGCGACCGCGTATGTGAAAGTCGCGAGCGCGACTTGTGCATCCTGAGAGTCAGTATGTTTCTGGCTGAAGTCGCGACCGCGCAGCGCAGCACAAGTCGCGAGCGCGGGATGAAGTCGCGAAGGCGGCTTTGTGTGATTCGCGAGCGCGGAGATGCGCCAACTGAGAGTCACATATAAATGCTTGTATGTTGTTTTAATCCATGTTCTTAGGTTGTATTTTTGTTGAAAAATGATTGGATGCATGCATGTTGAGCAAAGGAATGTAATTACATGGCAAATGAAAGGCAAAAGAGTGTCACAGCATAAGTCGCGAGCGCGCAATGGGAAGTTGCGAGCGCGACGTGCTTTCCAGCATGCGCGAGCGCGCGACGTGATTCTGTGCAGTCTGTATTCTTTTGGCCATAACTCTCAATAGCTAATTCCAAATTGAGTGATTCAAAAACGCGTGTCAAGCTAACACAGAAAGGAACAAATAACTCTTCTATGACAATTCCTAATTCCATCATTAAAAGGGTTCAAAATCAAGATGAAGTTGTTGGTAAAATTTCCAGCAAACTATGTTTCCACTTCATATAGTCATCCCCTGTTTTCACATCATATCCAATCTTCTCACTCAACAATAAGCAACATATCATCTCACTAGCAACACCACACAATTTACATGCAAAGAAACTAATAAACAACATGAGATATCAAACCTTGACGTCAAAAGCTTGCCCCTTGTTTTTTCAAACAAAGCTGGGACTCTTTGTTTAAGCTTCTCTTTCTGCTAACATTTTGAACTTTCTTCTCCTAACACAAAGGAATTCTCAATTAATTCATCTCCCAATATAACAGAATTAAAGATTGTGGAATAACATAAACTTCAAGCAATTCTACTTACTTGGAGTTTGACTTAATGCTTAACTACGTTGAAAAGTTGAAAAGGAAAAAGGGCGGGAACAAGTTAAGAAGAGAATGATAACCATGGAAAAATTAGGAAAGTGAACTGATTAAGAACGGGTAGGTCTCTAGAAGAAGTGAGTTGGCTGTTTTTGTAAAAAAAAAAAAAATCATATCTAATTTTGGTACCTCAAGTGTACAAAGGCTACAACTCATACCCAGCTGGTATGTTTTTGATGCAAACAAGTCCAAACTTTTACATTCACATAAGTCCACTTTATACTCTCATTCTACGCCCAACAAGGTTTGATTCAACCCAACTCCAACTTTACCTCTATGAAATGATCAACTCAACTCACTAGAGATATTACATATCAATTCTAAAAAAAATTGCGGGACGTTGTTCTATACTCACCATATCAGTCCACTTATACTCTCATTCTACCCCAACAAGGTTTGATTCAACCCAACTCAACTTACCTCTATGAAATGACTCAACTCAACTCACTAGGATATTACATATCAATTCTAAAAAAAATTGGGATCGTGTTCTATACTCACCATATCAATTTAATGATTCTAAAAGTATTATCGGAGATTTAGGTAATTTGAATTTGATTATGGAGAACAGATTATTTATGTTCTTGGAAATTTTAGAATTCATAAGCTGAGCCAAGACCATGATCTCACATAGTTATTATTTATAGAATAAGCTAAAGTAGATATCAAGTAATTTATTATAGAGGTTTTATGAGAAATAATAGGTGAGTGAAGAGATTTTCTCTCACGGTAAACTATTATATAGGCTAAATTAAATTATTATTATTATTCATAATTATAAATATAAATCACTATATATTATGATATAATCTATTGATAAGTGCATATATATTTTAGATATTGAAAAATCTATATGGGCTGAGAAGAACCAACACGGGCTTTTAAGGCAGCCCATGGTCAACATAGCTCTAGCCAATTATGCAACCCGAACCGGCCCAACCGAAATCCCCGTACCACTAACGGCTAGAAAAATCCAAAACTTGAACTATACTCTTGAGCGTTTGCAAAATCAGAAATGGCGATTGTGAACCGTTAGATCGTAAAAAATCCAACGGCAGATACCCAACAAAAAAAATAAGACCGTTGGAGGAGGCTCGCGTCCCTTCAAAAGGAAAGGAATTTAAGCCTCTCTTCCCTTCCCAGACTCTCAGTCTCTAAATAACTTGTGTCAGAAAGCAACAGTGCAAGAAACAGAGAAAGAAACAAAGAATTTGCAGAGAGAGAAAGGGGGATTTCGTAGAGAGAGAAACAGAGAGAGGGTGGCGACTGCAAACGCAGGAGAAGGAGAGACACGCAGTAGTCTTCTCCAAGAGTTGCTTTTGTCACTATTTGCAAGAGTATTTGGCAAAAATCAAGAACTAATCGAAGAAGAAGAATCTGAAGAAATGGCGTCAAAAGCTGTTGTTCCTCATCAGCAGCTAAGAGGTAACCATGAATTCTTGCATTTTGATTTCTTTTATTCTTTGTGGGTTCTCTTAATTTGTTCTTTCCCCTTCTTCATTTAACTAAGAGCAATTTGTTATGTGATTTTGCATGATAGTTTGTGGGTTTTGGACCCGCTTATTATTTCTTCTTGGATTTTGGTCCCGATTATGATTTCTTCAGGATTTATTGCAAAACCAAGCTGGGTTTTTTTATTATTTATTGTATTGTTATCATTCTATTATAATAAATTAATCAACTTTTTACAGAAAAATAATTGGGCTGATGTAGAGGTTAGGTCTTGGTCTCAACAATTTAAACTTTTCGTGATTTTTTTTCTTGGTGTTCTTCTTTTGTAGTCATGAAACTGGTCAAGTTCTTATTCTTGGATAACAGTCGTGTTGGACAATAATCTTTTGGTTTTTTTTATTTTATTTTATGAGGTTTTCCGATCATTTGTATAATAAGTTCTTTCTCTGATTTCTTTTGAAATGTTCTGCAAAATCGACAAGTGGGATTGACGTTGATTCTTTTTATGATAAAGGACAGTTTATTTTCATTTTCCTGTTTCCCTTTCTTCAAGATTAATGCTTCTTTACCTGCCTTAAATAATTTTTTATCAGATTTGACCTTACTAAAGAACTTTATGAAAATTTCCAAATCAATTATTTGCTGAGAATTTATCTTGCAAAAGTTTTCTTTGATCCATGTTATTTTTGCTCTTCAGGAGAAGTGAAGCAGAGGAATGTTGTAGTAGCAGATAGAAGGAATAGAAGAGTGCTTCAAGACATTGGCAATTTGGTCAATGATGGTGCTCTGCAAGGCAAGGTAGAGCAATGATAACTAAATTTTCTTATCCAGTTTGCTACATTTTGAATCACTGCTACTGAATTTGTTGATATCTGTCAATTTGTAGAAACCAGGAAGAGGTCCTATGGCAAAAAAAGCAGCTAAAAAAGAGGTAGTTGAGAATCATATACCTGAGACAGTGATTGTGATAAGCTCTGATGATGAAAGTGAGAACAATAAACATGCTGGCGGCGGAAGATTAGTAGTATCAAAAGAAGAGCCTTCAAGGAAGAATGTCAAAACCCTCACAGCAATCCTGACTGCTAGGAGCAAGGTGAATATCTTTCCTTTTCCTTAAATTCTTTTCGCTTTTGGTTTTGTGATTTGGTGGTCCAACATGACTTTGATAAAACTCAGGCTGCTTGTGGACTTACCAAAAAGCCAGAAGATTCACTTTTGAACATAGATGCTGCTGATTTGGAGAATGAGTTAGCCGCGGTTGAATATGTTGATGACATCTATAAGTTCTACAAGCTCACAGAAGTACTGATATTTTTCATGACCCGTTTTCTTACTTCCCAATTTTACACATTAAATTGATGGGTTGATTCTTTTTGCAGGCTGATGGTAGAGTGCATGACTATATGCATGTACAGCCAGACATCAATGCAAGGATGAGATCAATTCTTGTGGATTGGTTAATTGAAGTTCATCGCAAATTTGAACTCATGCCAGAAACTCTTTATCTGACAATAAATATAATTGATCGATTTCTAGCGGTGAAGGTTGTGTCTAGGAGAGAACTGCAATTAGTTGGTATAGGTGCAATGCTCATTGCTTGCAAGTACGAAGAGATATGGGCACCAGAGGTATTCTTTGTCATGTCCTGTTACTACCTTGAATTGATTCATTGCATGTATGCCTTTGCATAATTTCTTGTTTCTGAAATTTGCAGGTTAATGACTTCATTTGCATATCAGATAATGCTTATATCAGAGAACAGGTTCTAGCAATGGAGAAAGCTATCTTGGGAAAGTTGGAATGGTATCTAACTGTTCCTACACCATATGTCTTCCTTGTTAGATATATCAAAGCCTCAATCATCCCATCAGATAAGGAGGTACTAGTAATATAACTTTAACCTTCTACAGTTTGGTACTATAAAGTCTTTATTCCTTGTCAGTTGGACTTGTCCTATATTAACTGATTAATATTTCTCTTGCTGTAGATGGAGAATATGGTGTTTTTCTTGGCTGAACTTGGTCTTATGCAGTATCCAGTGGTTATCATGTACTGCCCCTCATTGATCGCTGCATCAGCTGTGTATGCCGCTCGTTGTACTCTTGATAAGAGCCCATTTTGGACTGAAACTTTAAAGCATCACACAGGATATACTGAAGATATGATAATGTAAATTTTTTTTGCATTTCACTTCTGATGCACAAACTTGAAATTCAATGTTTTATCAGACGAAGTAATAATGTTCATTCTTCGAATATGGCAGGGATTGCGCCAAGCTTCTGGTTAAATTTCATTCTGCAGTTGCTGAAAGCAAGCTTAAAGCTGTGCATAAGAAGTTTTCAAGTGCAGAACGTGGAGCTGTTGCCCTTTCTAGCCCAGCCAAAAACCTCTTGGCAAATGCATCCTGAAGAATTTAGAAGAACTTTTTATGGCCTAATTTTCCCATATGCCAGTGGGTGTAACCTTAGAAACTTTCATGGCCATGTGATTGTGTTCGAAGGAGAAAGATCATGCTTCTGTTATGATCTGTAGTTATTCTTGTTAATCCTTTTACTCCTTTTGGTAGAGGAGTTGTGAAGCTGTGTGAGAAATGCTATCGTTTGCTTTGAAGTTGATTTTCCCATATATATAGTTAACCCGTTGATCATTTTTACCTCAATTCTTTCTAACCTTGTTAATGTTCTGCTGTAGTTTTTTAATTTAATGTTTGTTGTTGTTCCTTTATTTTTTTTTACTTGGAAAAGTTTAGCGGCTTTGCCAGCTGATTAAATTAATCGAAGCTTGTTTTTTTACCACAATAAGAACAGATAACAATCGGAATAATTAAATTTACTTAAACTGGCAAAGTAACGTCTTAGCATCAAGTTTATTAATAGTGGTACATAAGTATACACCTTCAAGTGCAAAATTTTATTGTCTACTGGTACAAAACAAACAGGTTCTCATTGTCTTTTTATTTGCTGGAAACACATTCTCTACATTTTTTTTTTTCTCTCTTATTCATGTTTCTTGAATCTCTCCATCCTCTGTAACCTTTGTAACTTCTTCATTCAGTTTGACCTTCCCTCCACAGCAGCCCTTTGCACCATGTGTGTTGTTGACCTCTACTTTTTTCCTGCAGAAACCCTGAACTGTCTTTCCCATCTCTTGCCTCCTCTCCATAAACTCTGAATTTTCCTTCCAAATCTCTCCATTTGAATAAACCTCTTTCTTCCATATTGGAACAGATGCTTTTAAGTCATCAATAACAAACTTACAAGCATCCAAAGCATCAGCGCGATGAACAGCTGATACTGCAACAAAGACACTAGTTTCTCCAACTGGAACTGAGCCTAGACGGTGAGCAACTGCAATAGAGTGGATATTCCAGGATAATCTAGCAGAGGAACAAATGGATTTGATCTCACGGATCGCCATTGGTACATATGCTTCATATCTTAGCTCCACAACTATTTTCCCTTCAAAGGTATCACGCGTCGTGCCTGCAAATGTTGCTATGCCGCCAGCCTGTGGAGCACTGACATAATTTATGTATTTGGCAAGATCAATAGGGTTATTCTCTTCTAATATTTCAACTAGAGTTCTATCTTCACTCCCCATATTTTTTCAGAACCTTTCAAACTATCTTGAACTTTCAATGTTTAAATCGTCTGGTGCAACCCTGTCGATTGGCATAGAAATCTCAGGGACCAATAGAAAGGAAGGATGAGGCTAACTGGTCCACACTCCACAATTTTGCATTACAGACATGAAGAAAATCTGTCAAATAGAAATATAATGCATTATTCTGTGACTTAACGATATAAAAGTTGGTAAAAATATCACTATCAAATACCCTTTTGGCTTTTGAAACCCAGAGGAGGCAGTTTAGGGGTTGACCAACTTGAAACCCAGATTAAGATTTTGCAGAATGAAAGATCATGCTCATCAAATTTATGAGGCAAGTTAATTTATTGCAGAGTGAAGAATTGTAGGCTTTTAAATGCAGTTAAAGCAACAGATCAAAATAGAATTAACAAATTGAACAATAAAAAATAAAAATTGATAAGAAAGTTGGGGGAATTTTTCTCTCAGATTCATATAGTTAGCAAATAAATAAATAATTACTGTGAAAATAGAATAGAATGAAATACAAATGCAAAAATTATGAGTTCTTATGTTAGGTTAGGGTTTTGGGCAGAAAAACAATAGATGGGTCTCTTTCTAGTTCATATATTAAAAGAGAACAAAAAAAACAGAGAAAATGATAGAGAAGGATCAAACCTCAGTGGTGGAAGTGGAGGAAGTGTAGAGGAACCCTCAAGTAGTTTGTTGTAGTAGCTCCGCCACTACAGACGGAAGGCACTGCGGCAGTGTTAAACGTCAGTAGACGGTGAAAGTAGCGAGTTCGCGAAAGTCAGTGCAGTAAAAGAGTCCACGTCCTCATGTCCCGATTTCATCATTGAAGAAGGATTAAATTGTACGGTGAGCAACGGGCGGGTCGGGGCATAACCCGATCTGAAATACCCGACACCTGAAGTATGGGATGGCTGCACCAAATCGATCCTTTTAAAAATTCGGGTACATGCGAATAACCGGATAAAGTTATCTGGGGCCTATTTAATCTAATTTTTAATTAAATATTTTTTATTTTAATTATGAGCCGAATACTATTTTATATGGCTGTTACAATCAAATTTTTATGGGATGGACCGGATAATACTTTTTGGATTCTACGCAATTGAAAAAAATTTTTAAAAAATAATCTCAAACATCCATAATCAAAAAATCATAAAACAATAATTAAACTATAATCAATATCAAATATTCATAAAAAAAAATCATAATACAATCAAACCATACTAATCACAAAAATCATAATTTTACGAGCAGAAAAAGAAAGAAAGGAGAGGCTAAACTGAATGTGAGTCACGTACGTGAGGAAAAAAAAAAATTGATATCTTCATTACCTAGGTCGAGTCAAGTTAAATAAGATATTTAACTGATCCATCCGAACCGAATATATATTCCTCAAATTACCTGATTTGACTCAAATCGAAAGATCCATTATATCTTTATATTTTCAGTCGGATTGGATCGGATCAGGTTTCGCACAACGGTGGTGTAATTTGCCTAACACCACATTAATGTTTTAATTTTAATTTATTCAATACAATTTATTTAAGCGCTAATGACATAGCAAGTTTTGTTATTGCTAGAGCAATTAAATTCATTTTATTATACATAGACTAAATTGCCCTTGTCACTCCACTTTCTCTTCATTCTCTAAAAAATAGGCAGCATTGAGGGAGAGAGAAATCATGAATCACCCATAAAATCAGAATAACTTAAGGATAATATGTTTTCTATTTGTGTTCAGAAAATAACTTAACTTTTGGAAAATATTTTTTTAAATAATTTATTTTCCATTATTTGATTGTAATATTAAAAATTAGTTAAACATATTAAAAATTTTAATTCATAAGACCATAAAAATATTAATAATAATTGAAATGTTATATTTTAATATTTTTATTTTTAAATACGAGAAGCATGCAAAAAAAAAAAATTATGAAAGTCACAGGTGAGCCGTGGTGGTAGCCTCTACCGGTGGTTAGTGGTGAATGGTAACTGATGAATAATAAATTAAAAAATATAGAATTATAAAGTTATAATAAGTTTGTCAATGGCTGAAAAATTATTACTTTCTTAAAAATGGGAAGTCATTTTTCTTAACAATGACTTTTTTTTTTTAAGGAAATTGACTTCCCATTTTTTTTTACTAGAAAAATATTTTTCACTGACTTATTTTTTCAAAATGCTTCAAATAATAAAAAATTTTAAAACATATTTTTATATAAGTTATTTTACAGAAATAAATAAAGCCTAACGAAGGAATATATCTTCGGCAAAAGTGAAAAACGGTATGTTTTGAGTGACAGAGAGAGTTGATTTTGTTAAGTTTAATTAACCTGTGGTCGGAGCGGGTCCGTGGAAAAATTTATTACTTATAATTTTCATCCTTAATTTGCAATTGAAAGTGCTATTGCTATGAAAAGTTAAAATTAAAGTAAAATGGATAAAGATATTAAAATAGGCTGAAATTGATAAAGATTTTGTTAAGTAAAATATTTCTTTTGATTTATTCAGTAAAATAATATTTTAGTAATATAATTTAATAGAAAACAAACCTATATATTTATTTCATACTATTTTATTTATTATTGTTAATAATTTTATTAAGTTAGAATAATCGTTTTGTTATAGAATTTATTTGAGTTTTGCAATTTATTAAATTTAATAATTAAAAGTATAATTGATCTATACAAGAATTACTTCAGTAATTTTATTTTAATATAAAATATTTAGATCTATAAATTCTATGAATGGATAAGCGCCTGATTCTCTATAAAAGCCAAGTTTAAATACAGAAAATGAATCCAAAAAATCAACTCCAAATAAGCAATCAATCAAACTAAATTAGTTCAACTACAACAAAACTTTAAGCAATTTCAATTTCAATTTCTTTTCAGTTCATTATATTTTCTTTTCAAAGTACTCTTAGTGTTTCTGTCACAATTGCAATCCTTTTAAAAATAGTATTTTTAATTCAATCTGTAAGCCCTAGTGTGATATTGTCCGCTTTGGGTGCCAAACCTGGCCTGAACCCTCACGGTTTTGTTTCTGGGCCAGGGAAACCTCCGCTCTGCCAGCCCATTCAATTTCAATTTTCTTTTCAGTTCAATTATATTTTCTTTCAAAAGTACCTTAGTGTTTCTGTCACAAATTTGCAATCCTTTTAAAATAGTATTTTTTAATTCAATCTGTTAAAGCCCTAGTGTTGATATTGTCCGCTTTTGGGTGCCAAACCTGGCCTGAAACCCTCACGGTTTTGTTTCTGGGCCAGGCGGAACCCTCCGCTCTCGCCAGCCCAAAACGCGTTCACACAGTCAAGATTGCTCCGCTCTGCCAGCCCAAAACGCGTCACACCAGTTCAAGATTGCCACCCTTTATGTATAGGACTTCCACCTTGTGCGTAGCCGATGTGGGATTCGCCTAAGATGTTGTGCCCTAAAACTGGGATGTCATACAATCAATCTCTTTTCTCTGTAAAATGTTCATACAATCTCTATTTTTCTGTATGATTTTTTTAATTTTAGCCGTTAATGAATCCAATAATTAGGAGTTTATATAGCGCATTTATTTCTATAGTTGATAAACTTTGATACTTGGTACGAAATATTTAAATAACTTTTAAAAAACCTTAACTGTTTTCTTTTTAATATGAGGTATTAAGTCTCGTATCCGTTTTAACGGTCTACAAGTTTAACTAGTCCTCACTCGCTTTTGGAGGCAAAAGGAGTAATTAGCCCGGAGAGAGTTTGCGTTGCACAGAATCAAACCCATAACTTAAATTATAGTGATTAATCCCGCAAATGCTGATTGGTACTCAGTTATCCCATTCGGCTTAAAACCTTAACTGTTTTTACAATGCAAATGAAAGTCATTATTATGCTTTCTTCTACTATTGCTGGTCAAAAGTGAAAAGATAATGGACCTACCCAAGGGCATTTTCTTTAATTTACAAAAATTAAATTGTTTTCTAGACCTATTTAACAGAAAAGATAGGCCATCTACCACTATGAGTTAATAAATTATTCGTATATATTATTTCTTAATTCTAATAAGGACCTTTAAATAGTTAACAAATTTAATTTTTATTGATTCTCTAAAAAATGCATAATTCTGAATATTACAATTGAAAAATTAACATATTATAGTACAAAAATACTATTGTACTCATAAATGTAAACTATTTTTTTTTGTCTATTTTTATGTACCAAAGTTTTAAAAACAAAAATTCAGAATACTATATATTTACTTTTCAATCATCAGACACAAATAAATAATGATAAACTAAAAATACAAAGTAAATTAACTTTAATAAAATTAATGGTTTAATTCAGTTTTTTTGGTAACCACGAGATATTCGGGCCATGTTCATTTAATGGTCCACATAACTCAAATATTCCTCGTTATGTCTGAGGAGAAGCACGGGAGCTAATGATTTGATTCAGTTGTTCAGTTTAAATAAATTTTTTTTTTAATTTTTATATAATGCAATGTATGATAATCATTTTTTATTTTTTATTTCATTAAATTTACAGTTATTACTTAATCTGTCGAAGATTGATATATCTGTATGATTATATAAATCGAGAAAGCTTATCACTTGTAAATATTTTAATGGATAAGGGAATCACATTTTAAACGGAAAAAACACAAAAGGGTGAAAACAAAGGAGCTAGGGTCGAAAATATTGATACATGCATGTATAGACACTCAAAGAAAGGTGACTCATTAAAGAGTCTCTCCATATATATCTATCATTGAAATATTTTATTTAAGTCCAAGTTTTTATGATTATATATATATATGATTATATAATAATATATATATATATATATATTATATATATATATATAATCATAAAACTTGTATATATATAATCATAAAAACTTGGACTTAAATAAAATATTTCAATGATAGATATATATGGAGAGACAATATATTACAAATATTAAACTGGTTAAATCAGCCAAATTTACCTGGTCACAGGAAAATCCAGTCAATTTATTTAATCAACGACCGAGTTTGGCTAACTTTGAAAATAACTAACTTGAACTAGAATTATGATCGGTTTTGGATTAAATCCATTGAATTGATCAATCCCGTTCGATTTTAAAAATCATGATTAGGTTTCGAATATCACCAAATGTAAGATATGATAACCATGTTTTTCATGTTAATATGTTTTGTTTTTAATTCGAATTGTGATTGTTTTTTATTAGATCCATTGAATTGATGAATCGTGTTCGGTTTTAAGAACTGTAATGAAATGTCAAATATCACTAAATGCAACCTATGATAATCATGTTTGCAGTTATTACTTAATTCATAAATCAATAAACCTCATCACTTGTGATTAAATATAGTTATGGGTCCACATAGAGATAAAGAAAGGTAACACAAATTAAAATATTCTATCATTAAAATATTATCTATGTAAATTCAACTTCTTTATGATTATATATATATAAATGAATGAGTGACAAGGACGATTAATAAAATAATTTTTTATGACCAATTTTTTAGCAAAATATATTGGAACATATGGTATGTGACTGCAATTTCTTTTGTACACAAAATCAACATGTGTTAGGAAATTATTGAGGGAAGCTCATATATACATACATCTGAAGAGCAAATCCACTCTACAATCTATCTAGTAAAATATATATTAAAAATATTGATGTGGCACTCTACGATTTAGCATTCTATTTTTCCCTTTTTTTAAAAACAAATTTTGGATTTTTTTCTTTTATTTAAGACTTCTTATTTAGTGTGCTGCTCTCTCTTTCTCCAAAAACTTAAAATCCTAAAAACTGTTTTTTCTTTTTTCCACGGGCGGCTCACCGGTGGTCACCTTTTTCCTTTGTTCTTTTTTTCTGCGAATAATCATCAGATCTGTATATATATCTGAGTTATTGTTGCTCA